TGCGTGAGTCAACTGACAAAAAATAACCATGAAGATAGTGGAAACAAAAAATCAAATATATTTTCTTAAATCAAGGAAAAACACATGGATATCATGAGTGTGGAGTAAATAATTGAAAAAAAAAAAGAAAAAAAAAGAGAGAGAAAACAGTATGATAGAAATGTCTTGATACAGAATAATATTTACTGTGCTTAAACAATTATGGCCAATATAAATCAGTCAAAATAAATTTTGTGCCAAGTGCTAACTACATTACTACCAAACAGAAACCTTAGTGGACCAAGAAAATAAAAAAAGAATAATTTTTCCTTTACAAATAATTATATCATGAGAAAAAAAGAAAAGAAAAGAAAAAAACAAAACATCAAATGTATTCACGTCCCTCTTTGAAATTTAAGATATCAAATGTGATAAACAAAATAGCTTAAAAATAAGGAACAGAAAAAAATGATCTTAACATGTCCACTAAGGCTACGATAACCTTCACATCTGTCACTTTACCTTGATTATTTTCTAGCGAAGGGAAAGAGGAATCATCGCTGGCTGACGTGTCTGGTGGGTACGGCCACATATAACCTAGGGAGTGAAAATACTTAGGTTTAGATACACCAACAAATGAGTGACGTTGCATTAATCTGAATATTGGATTATGGTTCCTTAACTACAATTAGAAGTTCTAGACGGATGGATTACATGTTTACCGGAAGGTGTATTGAGTTCAATGCCTTTCGATCAATTGTTATTTCTTGAAATGCATCTTTCTGGTTTTGCCTCGATTGCTTTACCATCGTTAACTATAACGTACTAACATTCCTCAGATATCCCTCTCTAAGGAAATCAAAAATATAATCGCAAAAACTCACTTGGTGTGTGTGGAGCGTCGTCGGTCAAGAGGCGTGAGGTGGAAGGCCCGGGCGTATCAGGCATCTGGTCATGGCTTGGACGGTCATGGTTCCTCTCTTCGTATTCATCGTCCGACTGGTGGTTTGCATCACTGCTGTTTTCGTCTGGTCGTACAAGGAGTGACAGGGCTTTACTAGGGCTACTCGAACGTGGGTCGGAGTCCGGACGACTGGCAGGGGACGACCGAGGGATATCAATGTGGCTGTCTCCTCTCGACGACCCTACCAGGTTTTCGGGCGAAGGACTATTCACTCTGAGTGGTTCTCGGGAGTCCCTCTCTCGCTCTCGTTCCCTTTCTCGTTCCCTCTCTCGCTCTCGTTCTCGTTCTCTTTCCTGTTCACGTTCGCGCTCCCGTTCCCGTTCCCATTCCCTTTCCCTTTCGAGGTCTCTCTCACGTTCTTTGTGCTGCTGGTGCTGGTCACGGTTAGAATGTAGAGCTGCAATGGGCGTTATAGTTGCTGGAATACGTGGTAGATGGATGCCATCTCCTGGTGAGCCTGAGGACCTGCCATCGCTGTCTCCGCTATCCCCGCCTTCTCCGGACTTCCGTCGCATTCTCTTTCTCCGCTTTGTATGGGGCGAGTCGCCGTCTTCTCGGGGGTGGGGTCCGTTACCGTTGTCGTCGCTAAGTTAGGTAATTTTATAGGAGGAACCAGAGTTGAGGAAGCCAAACTGAGTGCTGGAGGCATGGTCAGCACCGTAGACAACACTGAGGGGACAGAGACTGGAGGCGTGGGGAAGGCATCCAGGCTTGAGCGGCCAGACTTGCTTTCGAGGGAATTTTCGGTCTTAGGGACATCATGGCCGGCAGGGTGCGTGGCCCTGGTGTCCCCTCCCTCAGCCTTATTGCTACCGTCTGCGAGGCCCTTGATCTTCAGGGACTCGGCAGTCTTTATCAACGGTCCAAGCTGGTCCTGTGACACGTTGACTTCTCCGCGATACATGTAGTCCAATAAGGCTTTGAGCTCGACATGTTTGACATCCTTCAATATCACAATTGGGTGCTTATCTATAGTTTGAGCAAACAGCGTCTGTGAGAAAAAAGGAAAAGACACAAGTTAGTTAAGAAAAATAAGTAACCTACCTTATCAGTATGGAACTCATAACACTTTGAGGGTGACAATAATTGATCAAAGCGACAATAATTAATCAATGCACATAAGTATAGTCAAATAACCCTTACTGACCTGGAAGTATGGCGAGCACGCGGATAAGACTACTTTGTGGGCTTTGAAGAGCTTTCCCTCTGCAAAAAGGGTGACGTCCACTAAGGACTCGCTGGCCAGAAGGTTCTCAAACACGGCCACCAGGGTCGACCCGTGGTTGTTCCACCGCAGACAGAATTGCTGCTGATCCACCATCTTGCCTCTGTGGATGGAGAAAAACGGTATTATTTGTTTTGCTTATACAATTTCACTTGCGTCTGCATTTTAACAATAATCTAAATGCGTTTACCGTATTTCGCAAATGATTACGAGTATGGGGGAACATATATATATAGGAAATGGAAGGAGCAGGAATGAATGGGGACATGAACACAGGAAAAGATCTTGTAAGATTGGTTATTGAGGGTAGGAATAGGAGACTGGTAGTGCCTGGAAAGGAAAGGTGGTCCGCGGGCCTTAGCACGTGCGCGGGGTGGGCCATATTCTTATATCCTTCTTAACCTAAAACTCCTACTACCAAGGACCGCTACAACTAATGCCATTGAAAAGAAAACGAAAAATGAATCATCTTCAGTCCAAATATCCGACAACCATCCCGAATATCCGGCAACCATCCCAAATATCCGGCAACCATCCCAAATATCCGGTAACCACCCCAAATATCCCTAGACCAATCCAGCTTACGCCAGGTGGCTCTCCCGCACCTCAGACATCTGGCGGATTTACGAGGGACAGTTGCACCAGACCGTGTATGCGCAGCAAATTATGCCGCTTCGGGTTTAGGCCTACTCCGGGCCGGGCTGTCATCGAGACAAAGGCCTATTGTTTTGTTATTGCAGAAATACCTCGTCCTTCAAGAAATTGCATGTGCTCATCTATGAATAACTCATTTTCGGAGAATTAGTTCATGTGAATAAAAATATCGGCTTCTCAGATACATACACTTATCTACACGTACGGACACCTATTCCCACACACCGAGATTGAGTACAAGGAAATGCAGAAGGACGAGTAAGAAATAAAAATCAAGGAAAAGGAAAAAGAATCTTCACAAAGTCAGAGATAAGAGAGGACCATCTTTTCCCATCCTTCCTCCATCGACACCCCCCCCTCTCCTCGCACACACGAGAGCGAGGGAGAGGGAGGGAGGGAGAGAGAGAGACAGAGAAAAAGGGAGATAGAGAGAGAAAGGGAGAGAGGGACAGAGTTGAAAATGAAGAGACAAAAAAGAACTAATGCAAGAAGTTAGTGCGCGAGCAACCGAGGCGGGCGGGCAGGCGGTCGGATGTCTCAGTGGGCGTGTTGGGAAAGTACCTGGTGAGAGTACACAACCCATGCGCATGCGCCTTCTGCCACGCCTCCTCTTCCTCCTCCTCCTCCTCCTCCACCGCCACGCCTACCCCCCTCCCTCTCCCCCCTCCAACACTATCAATACTGCACACGTATTGACGCCCGCCAAGGCCCTCCCCGCGTACGCACAGGGCGGGCTCTCGGGGGCGTACGCATCCATCTTATTCTCGGACGGACGCCGCGACGACCGCATCTTGGGTCCGCGTCCCGTCATTAACGCCTAAGAGTGGCTCAATTAGCGAGGGGAGCGGACGCGGCGAGGGCAATCATGCGCCGCTTGTAATGGCAATTAGCAGAGGCGATGACGTAATCAGCAGAAGCGATGACGTAATCAGCAGAGGCACATGACGTAATGAGATGGGTAGTAGGGCTGCAGGATGAATATTTCATCGTTTTTCTTCTCTCTTTTTTATCATTTTCCCCTTTTGTGTGAAAATATGTCAAGGAGGAAAGGACTGAGGGAGAGGGGAACGGAAAGAGGAGAGAGAGAGAGGGAGAAAGGCCTTTTTTGTGTGAAACTATGCCTGGACGGAAGGGAAGTTCGGAAAGGAGAAAGGAAAGTGGAGAAGGGGGAGAGGAGGAGAGAGAAAGAAAGAAAGAGAGAGAGAGGGAAGGGGAAGGAGAGGGAGAGGGAGAGGGAGAGGAGGAGAGGGAGAGGGAGAGGGAAGGGGAAGGAGAGGGAGAGGGAAAGAGAGAGGGGGCGAGAAAGAGCGGACTTTCTTCACCCCCCGAAGATAAAAACGCAAGACAAACTGCAGGTGCGGGCGTTGAAAACCAGCAAGCGTTTATCACGTGGCCAACACCTTGTTCTTCAAAACCAGGACACCTCAAGGCGATCACGTGCGCGCAGAATTCACTCCTATACTTCCCTCCCCCTCTCCATCTCTCTCTCTCTCTTTCTGTGTCCCACCGCCCCACCGCTTTCTCCTTGAAATTGCAAGAAATGGCCCTCCTCGCTGTGACTCAAGCCCCACACCAGTGAGTCACTCCAGCAACTCTGGGANCCAAAGTTCCTGACACCAACTATTGTAAGAACCAAAACGTACGACAACCAAAGTTCTGACGGAGCAGATAACAACAACATGGGGACTTTGGGGAGTATACAAACAATGACCACCTTGGGCTTGTAAGGAAAGTCTAACACACCTATTGGGCCTTTAAAAAAGAATGAGAAAAAAGAAAGAAGAAAAAAAAAAAAAAGAAGAAAAAAAAAAAATCATTGAAAAAAAGAAAGGCAAAGAGGAAGCTATAACTGTAAACCAAAACAAATATGGAATTATGTTGATAGCAATAAAGAAAAAAAATGGGCCGAGTACACGGTGTGTTCCTGCTTGAGCTATCTGAGAAATCATAATACTGAGAGGAAAAAATAAATAAACAAAAATGAATGAAGACCTAGTCATGCTTATATATTCAGAGAATGCACAAACATCTAGGTCTTGAGAGAAAAGAAAATTATTATAACAATAAAAAAAACAATAAAAAGAAATTCTACAATCAGAACAGCAATTTCTTGCTGTACAAACTAGCATCTTCAAACTAATAATAATAATTTTAAAGTGTATATATACACTGACACGTCCTCAGGTGACAAAACGCTGGCAGTTGCCGAGCCCTGAGAACTGAGCAGTACAACACCATCACCCTGAACCCACTAAGGTTGACTATTACCTCTAAGAAATGTATGGGACTGCCCAATAAGTGTGTTACATGTGGCTACTCTCCACCTTCAGCTAGTCTCTACAAGGCTACATCATCACTACACTACATTGGCACGGAATATCTCTATCAAGTGAAGCAAATTTGAGACCTGTGCGTGAGTCAACTGACAAAAAATAACCATGAAGATAGTGGAAACAAAAAATCAAATATATTTTCTTAAATCAAGGAAAAACACATGGATATCATGAGTGTGGAGTAAATAATTGAAAAAAAAAAAAGAAAAAAAAAGAGAGAGAAAACAGTATGATAGAAATGTCTTGATACAGAATAATATTTACTGTGCTTAAACAATTATGGCCAATATAAATCAGTCAAAATAAATTTTGTGCCAAGTGCTAACTACATTACTACCAAACAGAAACCTTAGTGGACCAAGAAAATAAAAAAAGAATAATTTTTCCTTTACAAATAATTATATCATGAGAAAAAAAGAAAAGAAAAGAAAAAAACAAAACATCAAATGTATTCACGTCCCTCTTTGAAATTTAAGATATCAAATGTGATAAACAAAATAGCTTAAAAATAAGGAACAGAAAAAAATGATCTTAACATGTCCACTAAGGCTACGATAACCTTCACATCTGTCACTTTACCTTGATTATTTTCTAGCGAAGGGAAAGAGGAATCATCGCTGGCTGACGTGTCTGGTGGGTACGGCCACATATAACCTAGGGAGTGAAAATACTTAGGTTTTAGATACACCAACAAATGAGTGACGTTGCATTAATCTGAATATTGGATTATGGTTCCTTAACTACAATTAGAAGTTCTAGACGGATGGATTACATGTTTACCGGAAGGTGTATTGAGTTCAATGCCTTTCGATCAATTGTTATTTCTTGAAATGCATCTTTCTGGTTTTGCCTCGATTGCTTTACCATCGTTAACTATAACGTACTAACATTCCTCAGAAATCCCTCTCTAAGGAAATCAAAAATATAATCGCAAAAACTCACTTGGTGTGTGTGGAGCGTCGTCGGTCAAGAGGCGTGAGGTGGAAGGCCCGGGCGTATCAGGCATCTGGTCATGGCTTGGACGGTCATGGTTCCTCTCTTCGTATTCATCGTCCGACTGGTGGTTTGCATCACTGCTGTTTTCGTCTGGTCGTACAAGGAGTGACAGGGCTTTACTAGGGCTACTCGAACGTGGGTCGGAGTCCGGACGACTGGCAGGGGACGACCGAGGGATATCAATGTGGCTGTCTCCTCTCGACGACCCTACCAGGTTTTCGGGCGAAGGACTATTCACTCTGAGTGGTTCTCGGGAGTCCCTCTCTCGCTCTCGTTCCCTTTCTCGTTCCCTCTCTCGCTCTCGTTCTCTTTCCTGTTCACGTTCGCGCTCCCGTTCCGTTCCCTTCATTTCCTCCCTTTCGAGGTCTCTCTCACGTTCTTTGTGCTGCTGGTGCTGGTCACGGTTAGAATGTAGAGCTGCAATGGGCGTTATAGTTGCTGGAATACGTGGTAGATGGATGCCATCTCCTGGTGAGCCTGAGGACCTGCCATCGCTGTCTCCGCTATCCCCGCCTTCTCCGGACTTCCGTCGCATTCTCTTTCTCCGCTTTGTATGGGGCGAGTCGCCGTCTTCTCGGGGGGTGGGGTCCGTTACCGTTGTCGTCGCTAAGTTAGGTAATTTTATAGGAGGAACCAGAGTTGAGGAAGCCAAACTGAGTGCTGGAGGCATGGTCAGCACCGTAGACAACACTGAGGGGACAGAGACTGGAGGCGTGGGGAAGGCATCCAGGCTTGAGCGGCCAGACTTGCTATCGAGGGAATTTTCGGTCTTAGGGACATCATGGCCGGCAGGGTGCGTGGCCCTGGTGTCCCCTCCCTCAGCCTTATTGCTACCGTCTGCGAGGCCCTTGATCTTCAGGGACTCGGCAGTCTTTATCAACGGTCCAAGCTGGTCCTGTGACACGTTGACTTCTCCGCGATACATGTAGTCCAATAAGGCTTTGAGCTCGACATGTTTGACATCCTTCAATATCACAATTGGGTGCTTATCTATAGTTTGAGCAAACAGCGTCTGTGAGAAAAAAGGAAAAGACACAAGTTAGTTAAGAAAAATAAGTAACCTACCTTATCAGTATGGAACTCATAACACTTTGAGGGTGACAATAATTGATCAAAGCGACAATAATTAATCAATGCACATAAGTATAGTCAAATAACCCTTACTGACCTGGAAGTATGGCGAGCACGCGGATAAGACTACTTTGTGGGCTTTGAAGAGCTTTCCCTCTGCAAAAAGGGTGACGTCCACTAAGGACTCGCTGGCCAGAAGGTTCTCAAACACGGCCACCAGGGTCGACCCGTGGTTGTTCCACCGCAGACAGAATTGCTGCTGATCCACCATCTTGCCTCTGTGGATGGAGAAAAACGGTATTATTTGTTTTGCTTTTACAATTTCACTTGCGTCTGCATTTTAACAATAATCTAAATGCGTTTACCGTATTTCGCAAATGATTACGAGTATGGGGGAACATATATATATAGGAAATGGAAGGAGCAGGAATGAATGGGGACATGAACACAGGAAAAGATCTTGTAAGATTGGTTATTGAGGGTAGGAATAGGAGACTGGTAGTGCCTGGAAAGGAAAGGTGGTCCGCGGGCCTTAGCACGTGCGCGGGGTGGGCCATATTCTTATATCCTTCTTAACCTAAAACCTAAAACTACTACCAAGGACCGCTACAACTAATGCCATTGAAAAGAAAACGAAAAATGAATCATCTTCAGTCCAAATATCCGACAACCATCCCGAATATCCGGCAACCATCCCAAATATCCGGCAACCATCCCAAATATCCGGTAACCACCCCAAATATCCCTAGACCAATCCAGCTTACGCCAGGTGGCTCTCCCGCACCTCAGACATCTGGCGGATTTACGAGGGACAGTTGCACACAGACCGTGTATGCGCAGCAAATTATGCCGCTTCGGGTTTAGGCCTACTCCGGGCCGGGCTGTCATCGAGACAAAGGCCTATTGTTTTGTTATTGCAGAAATACCTCGTCCTTCAAGAAATTGCATGTGCTCATCTATGAATAACTCATTTTCGGGAGAATTAGTTCATGTGAATAAAAATATCGGCTTCTCAGATACATACACTTATCTACACGTACGGACACCTATTCCCACACACCGAGATTGAGTACAAGGAAATGCAGAAGGACGAGTAAGAAATAAAAATCAAGGAAAAGGAAAAAGAATCTTCACAAAGTCAGAGATAAGAGAGGACCATCTTTTCCCATCCTTCCTCCATCGACACCCCCCCCCTCTCCTCGCACACACGAGAGCGAGGGAGAGGGAGGGAGGGAGAGAGAGAGACAGAGAAAAAGGGAGATAGAGAGAGAAAGGGAGAGAGGGACAGAGTTGAAAATGAAGAGACAAAAAAGAACTAATGCAAGAAGTTAGTGCGCGAGCAACCGAGGCGGGCGGGCAGGCGGTCGGATGTCTCAGTGGGCGTGTTGGGAAAGTACCTGGTGAGAGTACACAACCCATGCGCATGCGCCTTCTGCCACGCCTCCTCTTCCTCCTCCTCCTCCTCCTCCACCGCCACGCCTACCCCCCTCCCTCTCCCCCCCTCCAACACTATCAATACTGCACACGTATTGACGCCCGCCAAGGCCCTCCCCGCGTACGCACAGGGCGGGCTCTCGGGGGCGTACGCATCCATCTTATTCTCGGACGGACGCCGCGACGACCGCATCTTGGGTCCGCGTCCCGTCATTAACGCCTAAGAGTGGCTCAATTAGCGAGGGGAGCGGACGCGGCGAGGGCAATCATGCGCCGCTTGTAATGGCAATTAGCAGAGGCGATGACGTAATCAGCAGAAGCGATGACGTAATCAGCAGAGGCACATGACGTAATGAGATGGGTAGTAGGGCTGCAGGATGAATATTTCATCGTTTTTCTTCTCTCTTTTTTATCATTTTCCCCTTTTGTGTGAAAATATGTCAAGGAGGAAAGGACTGAGGGAGAGGGGAACGGAAAGAGGGGAGAGAGAGAGGGAGAACGGCCTTTTTTGTGTGAAACTATGCCTGGACGGAAGGGAAATTCGGAAAGGAGAAAGGAAAGTGGAGAAGGGGGAGAGGAGGAGAGAGAAAGAAAGAAAGAGAGAGAGAGGGAAGGGGAAGGAGAGGGAGAGGAGAGGGAGAGGGAGAGGGAGAGGGAGAGGGAAAGGGGAAGGAGAGGGAGAGGGAAAGAGAGAGGGGGCGAGAAAGAGCGGACTTTCTTTCACCCCCGAAGATAAAAACGCAAGACAAACTGCAGGTGCGGGCGTTGAAACCAGCAAGCGTTTATCACGTGGCCAACACCTTGTTCTTCAAAACCAGGACACCTCAAGGCGATCACGTGCGCGCAGAATTCACTCCTATACTTCCCTCCCCCTCTCCATCTCTCTCTCTCTCTTTCTGTGTCCCACCGCCCCACCGCTTTCTCCTTGAAATTGCAAGAAATGGCCCTCCTCGCTGTGACTCAAGCCCCACACCAAGTGAGTCACTCCCAGCAACTCTGGGAGAATCCCGATGACGTCACCAGAGGCGTTCGCAGATACATCAATCCGGGGAAAGCCACGAACGGAAGGCGGCAGCGATCTGTCTAAAGTCACCAACATTAAAGCTGACCAACTTCTGCCGAGATCTGACCCCAGCACACGGCACGGCACTAGCACCTGGCACAAGCAACGGCACTCAACCTGAGAGGTGCCTCACCTCAGCACTTCCTCGGAAGGAGTGAAATCATTATGTTTTTCCTTCTAGTTTTCCTCGATTGATTCCTCGGTTGATACATAAATCATATTTTCTGAACGATCAAATTGACGGGAAACTATTACAGGTACGCCAAGAGAGCTAAAAATTTTACCTGTAATGATGACAGATCAGTATGCGAGGCACAGTACCGTACCAGCACTCCTGATAAACAGATTATCATTCGCACATAAAAAAAAACGAAGTCAAATCCCCTGGGGGCACTTCAGCCAAAACTGGAGGAGCCGAAGCTAACATCACGGGAGAGATTTTAACGACGCGCATCTCGGAAGAGCATTTTGAAATCCCTTCATCTGGCGACACTTCGACCCCCGCGTGCAAGCAGGAAGATCCGAGGGCTGGGGGGAGGGGGGGGGGGGATCCCAGGGAACAGCGCTCCCGTGGCGACTCGAGTCTTCTTCCCCGAGGCTCCCCTGTAGCCCCCGCACCGGCGCGCGGGCTGGGGTAACGGGCCTAAAACACACGAGAATCAACTGACATTTGAGGCGGGGCAAAAAGCGATTCGATTCTCGTCAACTGCGACAAGGGACGCCGTTCTTTGAGGGACGAGAATGTCGCTCACTTTCTAATAATCTTCTCCGGGTTAGGATAAGTCCTCCGACATCCTGCCTAGGCCGAGGCCACGTGTGCGAACACTGCCCGCCTGAGAACTTCCACTGAAATGTCTGGCGGAAAGGCTGAAATCTGGTAGACAATGGTCGCCGAGACAAGAAGCGTCCTTCGGGGAGCAAGGCAGTTTTTCAAGAATAAATGTACATCCCAAAAAGATCACAGAACCGGAGTCAAAATGCTTCTTGTTTTTTTCCCCATCATCCGGAATATTAAACGAAAACAGGAGCGCAGATCCCGCAGAGTTTCTCCACCTTCCCGCACCCGAGCAGGCAATCTCCGGCGCGGCGTCATCCCCATTGCCGCAACATCTCCGAGGGAAACGCTTCGGAAGAGTCCCATTCCGACGAATCTGCTCGCCGACAGAGACCCCGCAAAGGGCGAAATCTGACGAGAAGGCGAAACTTCGGCATAATCTGCGCCGAGGATTACCTCCGCGCGGATCTCCGTAGGTAGAACTGCGCAACACTCGGAGGCTTCGGGCGATAAACCTCTCCTCGATTTTTCAGCCTCGCTCTCCTTTCTCCCACCTCGTTAGCCGTGCGTTCTTCCCTCCCCCCCTCCTCCCCCTTCCCCCTCATCGTCGGCCGGTCGTGGTGAAGGCAATCTAATCAGTATAGCTTTATGGTGAGAAAAGGGTTACATGATACTGATGGTGTGGCGGCAGAGGGGCCTGTGGAGTCGGGGCGGAGTGGCGAGAGAACGCGCTGGTGTTGAGTGCTGCGGTGAGGAGCGCCGTGGCAGCAAGGTGACACAAGCTCGACCTCTTCTCTTTAATGCTTTCCTTCAGCCATGCCACCATTCCTCCCTCCATTTCCAGCTCACTCTCTCGCTCCCTCCCTCCCTTTCCAACCCTCCCTCCCTCCCTCTCTCTCTCCTCTTCCATCCCTCTCCCTCAAAACAAAAAACTGAAACACGGGACAAAGCCATAAATGATAATGAACAGGGTCAACAGAAGGGAAAATGTGCGAACAGGAGTATAGGTTAAGGCGTTGGGGGAACAGCGCTAGAAAAAGGTGCAAGGGGCAGTAGCAGGAAATGTGTAGGGAACAGTAGGAGGACAAAGTGCAGGGGACAGCAGGAGAAAAGGGTGTGCAGGATGTCAGCAGGGAAAGGCTCTGGGGACTGCGAGGGAAAAGGGTGCAGGAGGCAGAACAGGGGAAGGTGTAACAGCAGCAGGGAAAGGCACGAAGGACAACAGGGAAAGGTGTAACAGCAGCAGGGAAAGGTGTAGGGGACAGCAGCAGGGGAAGACACGAAGGACAGCAGAATGGAAAGGTGTAGGCAGGACGGGGGTGGAGGAGCACACGGTATCAAAAGCCATATCCGAGACAAGATAAGGTCGAGCAGCGCCCAGGGGTCAAAAAGCAACACCATCCGCTCTGCTTCACGAAGACTTAAAAAAAAGAAACAAATAAAAACGCAGATAATGAAATAATGAAACTAATTAAGCGCAGCAAAAAAAAAACCTACAAAGTTTTCAAAATACGTTTATCTATTAATTCCCCCCCCCCTAAATAATAAAAAAGTCCGGCTGCGTTGTGTGCAACAAAACCCGCATTTTTGGACCCGGGCGATGCAATATCAATCAAATATTTCAAAAATATTCCTCAGTCTCCTCGCTAAATGCCCATCGCTTCCACTTATCCGCGAATCCACGTGCCAGCCTAAACTCCGCAAATATTAATACCGAAAAAAACAAACAAACATATAAACATATACAGAAACCGCTTGAAACCTTCCCGTCATTTCGAAAATTGGAAAATCCTATTGCACCGACACTGCCGCGTGGTTTAAAAACGCCTCTCCTATTATACAATCCCATTATCCTTATCCTATTTCCCCCATCCTATCTACCCGTCTCCCCTCCCTCCCCCCCAAAAAAAAAAATATAAAGATGCCGATTTAAACGATTTAAACACGAGCAAAGGTACAATCCTTTCGTCAAGAATAAACGACATCAAAAACAGTCCAGGATGTTG